GTTGAACTGAAAATAATAAATATAACAAACTCTTTTAGTAGACGTACAAGAAAATAATTACACTGTTAAGTAACATTTAGTGAGCAAAGGCAGAATATGTGGAGCTAAAAAGAAAAAGAAAAAACTTTAATAACATTAATCAGATTGACAGTGATGACTATAAATGGAACTAACACACTGGAATAAAAATAAAAATACAAGTGAATTACTGAAATATGATTTTTCAGTTTCTATATGATTATAGTATGTAGTCTGGGAAATTTAAAAGTTTAAAATTTTACCCAGTAAAATTTTATCACTTTTCCCAATAAGTATACACAAAAGCAAAGCAAATCAAAAACAATACTCTTAGACATGCAATATATATTGCAATTTATGAGAGGGACACTCTCATAAATTGTACGTGTCTTTATACCATCCACATGTCCGCGACAGTGCCAGACACACAGGAAGCACTCAGCCAATACTCGTCAAATCAATGGAAACTCAGTCAGAGCAATACAATAAAATATAGTTTTCAAATTCCTAATCCTGCTACAAAGCAGAATTTAAAAATGATGATGCTTATACTGGGCATGAAAGATTTATTGACTAAATTCAGTAATGAGCAGTCATTACTTTTTAAAGGTTTTATTTATTTATTTTTAGAGAGAGGGAAAGGGAGAGAGAAAGAGAGGGAGAGAAACATCAGTGTGGTTGCCTCTCACGTGGCCAGCACTGGGGACCTGGCCTGCAACCCAGGCATGTGCCCCAACTGGGAATCGAACTGGTGACCCTTTGATTCACAGACTGAGCTCAATGCACTGAGCTACACCAGCCAGGGCAGTCATTACTATTAAACATGATCAGTCAGGTGGCATCAACTATGAAAATTACCTGGTTTGAATGATATTTGTAAAAATTCTACGAAATATTTAGAAGTAACTGATCCAAGAAAATACAAGGACATTTAGGGAAGATTTTTAAAGAAAAAGGGTTTGGAAACAGATTGTGAGGTTATTAATAAAGGCACTAACTCTCTCATTTGTTATACGGAAATAAAAACATTACCTTGACTGTGAATAATGGCCATTAGTGTTACATTGGCCACATGAGCTGAAAATGAGCAGATATCCAGAGAACGTCATAAGATACAAGATCTCTAGCCTTCCAGCACCGGAATTCCAGCTTGAGTAGGTATCATGAAAGTACCGAAGAGTTGTCACATACATGTTTATCATTATTCTACTATACTAAAGAATGTAGAGTTGAAGAGTGTACAGGTCATGTATCATCCTTAGCTACAGACCCAGAACTGACATTTCCCAGCCAGAAAGTGGAACAGGACATAGGTGCCACTCTAAGGAGACAATAATAAAAGCTTTTATATACAGAGCTTTGTCAGCAAGAGGAGGCACTCAGGCCAGTCAGAAATCCCTTTTACTACATCATAGTGGGAATAAGATTAATAAGAAAAAGTCACAGAAGATAGCACCTTTCCACACACTTTTGTCCAAGGCTGGCCATTGAGAAATGCCCTTCCTTGACCAGTTGAGTGCTCTAATGGGGCACTATGGTTCCATTGCTGTCAAAGACTAATTTATGTGATAAAGTTCTCCCTAAAACAGTGTTTGTTTTATGATATTCTTCCAACTTAATCTACATGTCAAAATCATGAAATTTTAAAGAAATGTTTTTCATAGTGTAATGGCTAGAACTGTACCCTGGAGTCTAAATCTCTTGTTTGGGTTTGAATCCTCACTACACCACTAACTCTGTGGCCATAGGAGACTCACTAAAATGCCCTGTGCTTCAGTTTCTTTTTAAAAAAATGTTTTATTTATTTATTTTTAGAGAGAGGGAAATGGAAGGAGAAAGGGTGGGAGAGAAACATCAATCTGTGGTTGCCTCTCATGTGTCCCCTACTGGGGACCCGGCCTGCAACCCAGGCATGTGCCCTGACTGGGAATCGAACCAGGGACCCTTTGCTTCAAAGGCCTGTGCTCAGTCCTCTGAGCAACACCAGCCAGGGCTGGTTCAGTTTCTTTGTTTATAAAATAATGTCATTACCTACCTCACAGACTTGTGAGGATTCAATGACTTAATACATACAAGAGCTTTGAACAGGTTCTGGTACACAGTAAGTGTTTATAATTGTTGATTATAATCTTTATTGCTGCTTATTTTTAATACAATTTCTTTTAGTTTTACTTTGAAAACTAAAAAATACTATAAAATAAATAAAGATGTCTAGTTTTAACATCACAGAAAATGCTATTATCTCATGATTGATAATTATGACATCTATTTTGTTAATTTTACCATTATTTATTAAAAATTCATGTGAAAATTAGTTATAAGTTAACATACTGTATGTGTACTGAGTATGTGTTAATTTTTTTCAAATTATCCAACTTAGTAAGTAAACTAACTACACAATATAAAAATAAGGTTGTGTTAAACTTGTATATATTGTGCATTAAAACATGTATCAAGGTAAGGATTAATTTTGAGGTAATTTGTCCTGTTTAGTCACAAGAGAGACAGTAGTTAGTGTTAGTTACTTGGAGAATATTTGTTTTTGTTTAGAGTGTAAATGTGTATTATTTTCCTACTAATTGAAATATGACAATAATTTATCTTAAATTCTAACCTACTGTTTTGTTTCTTAGAATTATTAAATTATGTGCCAAATATTATCAGGTATCACATTATTCAGTGCTGAGTCATTATATGTAAAATATTTTATTAGAGAACAATCACAACTGAGAATGACTTTTTGAGTAATCATTTTTAAAAAGTTTACTAGTGTGGTTGAATATTTAAATGTTATCAGGTACTCTTTAAAAACTAGATCTAACCCTGGCTGGTATAGCTCAGTGAATTGAGTGCCATCCTATGAATCAACGGGTTGCTGGTTTGATTCCTATGCCTGGGTTGCAGGCCAGGTCCCCAATAGGGGGCAAGCAAGAGGCAACCACACATTGATATTTCTCTCCCTCTTTTTCTTCTTCCCTTCCCTTCTCTCTAAAAATAAATAAATAAATAATTTTAAAAATACTAGATCTAATTTTTTTATGTTATTTAGTGTCACTGATTTATTCTTTCTTTGTTAGTAGTAACTTTATAATCTCAGGAGATTCAATAACTGAAGCATAATAATCAGTAATTTAAAATAAAGATAATAGTATAGGGTTAGTCACTATTGCTACTGAAACATAAATACTATAAGCTAAATTCTAAGTATTTAATGTTTCTAGAAGCCAGGGAAAATTTTTTCAGCATACACTTTGAGGGTACTACATGAATAAAGTGATAAATGACACTAACTTTCACAAATCTAGTTACTACTCCAAAATCTTATGTCTCCATAAAACATATGGATTATAATTATTCCATATCAATTATTTCTTTAGCATTATTTTAAAGAGATGTTATGAAAAACAAAGTCAATTTTATTTACAGTTATGATGCAAATATGATTGTAAATATTTTTGAAAAGATATAGCCTAAAAATTATGGAAATGTCTTGCTTCTTTTACCACCTGTGTCTTCTTTACTTCCCAAAACTTTTTTTTTCACCCTGGCTGGTGTAGCTCAGTGGATTGAGTGAGGACCTGTGAAGCAAATGGTCGGTGGTTCAATTCCCAGTCAGGGCACATGCCTGGGTTGCGGGCCAGGTCCCCAGTAGGGGACACATGAGAGGCAACCACACATTGATGTTTCTCTCCCTCTCTTTTTCCTTTTCTTCCCCTCTCTCTAAAAATAAATGAATAAAATATTTTTAAAAAAACTGTTTTTTTCTGCATTCCTCTATATTATAAAGAAATTTACTATCAAGTCACTACTTGATATATGTGTTCCCAACTCTAACCACTTCCTAGTACATCTACTCGTAAAACCCTAGTCCAGGCAATTCTCATCTTTTTCTTAGACCTCTCCAGTAGGCTTTCAACTAAGCCTTCCTGCCTTTACTTTCTGCTCTTTTTACAGTCCATTCCATAAACAGAATCCAGACACACTTAAAACATAAATTAGATTATACCCTTCCTCTGCTGAAACTCTCCCATCACTTCTCATTAAAACTAAAACTAAATCCAGACACTAATCACGGCCTGCAAAGCTGTGCCTCGATTGGACGTCATCACCTGCCACTTGACCTCTCTCTCCCACCAGCAACAACCCTCGACTTCACTGGCCTCAGCCTCCAGCTACATTCATGCTCTTTCTGTGCCTTGGACATACTTCACGACCCTTGTAGTCTGTTCACTCTTTTTGGAATTCTTCCTTTCGGCCTCAGATTGCCTCCTCATTACTAATGTCCCTATTCAAATGTCACCTTCTTAGAGAAGTCTCTCTTAATCATTCTAAATAAAATATACTTTTTTCCAAGTCATTCAGTGTTCCTTTATCCAGTTTAATATTTTTCTAGCATTTACTACTATTGACATTATATTAATTAGACATTTGTGTTTGTGTCCTCATGTTCTTTTTTTATTGTTGTATCTTTAGCTTGTCAGACATGTCTGGCACATGTTGACATGCAATAAACATTTGTTGAGTGAAAGAATGACAGGTTTCAAAAGTAGACTATTTTCAACTCTATGACTCCAATATCATTTCATCAGTGTTCATAATCCTGTGTGTTTGTAATCATTCTCTGGTCCTAAGGCTCCAGCAAAAATACCCTCCTTCTATCTCCACTGGTTTATCCTCACTTTGATAATTGTCTTAACTCTAGCAGTTTTAGCTTACTGACATTGTGGTTGACTTCTAAAGATGACTTAAAATAGTCTCAGTTGCCTTTGGTGAGAATTTACTCTTTCCAGAGCCCAGTAGCAAAATAGAAGAAAATTAAGACATTTGCCATGGTTTTACATTTGTTTCTTGCAACAAAACTTCTAATTATATGTAGTCTCAACCTCAAAATGCGTCTCTGTTTAAGGGTATTAAAGTTAAACCACCTTTCTGAGTTTACACAGGTGATGACAGGAATGTAACATGATTTGTTTTTTTTTCAGATCTCCAACTAAAGACATGGATTCAGAGGAGAAGGAAATTGTGGTTTGGGTTTGCCAAGAAGAGAAGATCGTCTGTGGTTTAACTAAACGTACTACCTCAGCGGATGTCATACAGGCTTTGCTTGAGGAGCATGAGACTACATATGGAGAGAAACGATTTCTTCTGGGGAAGCCCAGTGATTACTGTATCATAGAAAAGTGGAGAGGCTCGGAACGAGTTCTTCCTCCACTGACTAGGATCCTGAAGCTTTGGAAAGCATGGGGCGATGAGCAGCCCAATATGCAATTTGTTTTGGTTAAAGCGGATGCTTTTCTACCAGTTCCCTTGTGGCGGACAGCTGAAACCAAATTAGTGCAAAACACAGAAAAGCCATGGGAACTCAGTCCAGTGAATTACATGAAGACGTTACCACCAGATAAGCAAAAAAGAATAGTCAGAAAAACTTTTCGGAAACTGGCTAAAATTAAGCAGGACACAGTTTCCCATGATCGAGATACGATGGAGACCTTAGTTCATCTGATTATTTCCCAGGACCATACTATTCATCAGCAAGTCAAGAGAATGAAAGAGCTGGATCTGGAAATTGAGAAGTGTGAGGCGAAGTTCCACCTCGATCGGGTAGAAAATGATGGAGAAAATTATGTCCAAGACGCTTATTTAATGCCCAGTTTTAGTGAAATTGAGCAAAAACTAGACTTGGAGTATGATGAAAACCAGATCCTGGAGGACCTGAGTAAAAGTAGTAGAATCCTACAGCTGGAGGAACGACTAACATATTACAGAATGCTCATTGACAAACTCTCCACTGAAATAGAAAAAGAGGTAAAAAGTGTCTGCAGTGGGATACATGAAGATGCAGAAGGGGCGGCTGCAAGTGAACTTGAAAGCCTAAATTTAGAAACTGTTAAGTGTGATTTGGAGAAAAGCATGAAAGCTGGTTTAAAAATCCACTCTCACTTGAGTGGCATCCAGAAAGAGATTAAATACAGTGACTCATTGCTTCAAATGAAAGCAAAAGAGTATGAGCTCCTGGCCAAGGAGTTCAGTTCACTTCATATCAGCAACAACGAAGGTTGCCAGCTAAAGGAGAACAGAGGGAAGGAGTTTGAGGTCCCCAAAAGCAGTGGGCAGGGTCCTCCCTTCACTCAAAGAGTATTTAACATATATACAAATGACACGGACTCGGACACTGGCATCAGTTCCAACCACAGTCAGGACTCAGAAACGACCGTGGGGGACGTGTTGCTATTGTCAACTTAACTTGATTGGCTTCTTTCTGACCCACTTTACTGTGTTCGTGCTTGTTTAATAGGAAACTTTATTTTAAATATTACATTCTGAAAAATATAAATCCTGCTAAAATATTCCATAGTTAATAAACACTAGAGAAAGTGTAAGTTTGTTTTTGATTTAAGATATCCAAGGTGATACTTAATTATTCTAAATACAAAGGATGAACTGTTTATTAGGAATGTAGCACAAATAGCTTGCAAGTATATGAGAGAAATAATTTGGTGAGGGTTATAATCTCCCATAATTTAAAAGAAATTATTTATATAAACTTTAATTCTTAATATTAGGCAATATATTCAAGCTACACACATGAATAGATAAAATGTGCTGTAATATATTTTTTCAATGCTGTATTATTGAAATTTTTAAATCTGTAAAGTATATGACAGCTACTCTATTATAACTATATTAAATGAAATTTTGGTTTGTCTCTTCGCTACTTAGAAAGTCCATTATCTCTGTCACTTCCTGCACTTCTCTACCTTCCCAGACATAGATCACAGCAGCGGGGCAGGGCTGCTGGTGGGATATGTACAAAGACCAGCAGGGGATCAGAATGGGGTATTGATGAGGAAGGGCCAAGTCCTGCATGCAACAGCAATTTTTCAAAAGATCCTGGAGTTATATGTATGTGCTTTCTCCAGCTAACATCGCCAGTCTTCAGATCAAGCCAGTGGTCTGTGCGGCTTCATTGTCTGAATAAGGTACCGGGTGGGTTACAGAGAAAATCACCTGGTCATAGTCCTGTTTGTTTACTCCCTACAAAAGTTGAAGGGGTGCAACTCAGGGTCCTTTGCGTGAGTAAAAAAAGACTCTGTAAGCCATTTTATCTGACAATGCAGAGGGGAGTTCACAAGGAAAAACTTTATTCTGCTACACTATAATTCAGATTGTCTTTGTTGTGCTTTGTCTAAGGTGCAAACAACAACAACAAAAAAGCACGAGTTCAATCCTCTACCCCCAAGCATTCTAGTAAATATACAACAAATTGGATTATTTACATCATGCCTTGACTAACAATCATTATAATGCCAGATTGCTTGGATTTGCCTAGGTTTTAGTTAGGAAGTTCCTGTCTTTCTCCCCTTTTCTCTTTTCTCTCATGTCCTTGCTTGTGGTCAATGAACACATGTATAATAACAGTGAAATAATTTTATTGTACTGCTAAGTGAATGCCACCACAGTCTATTTATTTCTTTAGCCAACACTTCCCTTAGAAGTCAGTGCACATGTAAGTAGAAATATTATTTTACTTATGTATGAGTAACAAATATGTGAATATTGGGTAAGATTCCCAGAATTTTTCATTTGTTCCATTTTAGTCTTATACTTACTGTGTAGTCCATCTTTTATTTCACTTTCTTAATTTATTTTTTCACTGCTCCATCACCCAGACTTTTCACCAATATTTGGGAAAATATTTAAAATTCCACTTTCAAGGAGCATCTATGTTATTATTTCTTGCACAAGGATATTGCTGAATGCTTTATTTGTAAGAAAAATTCATTCCAGAACCAGTACAGTGATAAAGAGTATATAATAATGCCAACATAAGTTTTAATTTTTGAAGAGATCGAATAGTCATCTAAAACAGGATAGTTTATCTGCCTAAAATTCTATTAAATCATTCAGCAATATGGTATATTTATTGTTACTTTTGGGGATTGAGTTTAGATCATCATCAATGACAAACTGTAAATTTGTTTTCCTGAACTAAAAGTAATCTTTTTGGATTACTCTTTAGTAAGAAAATACTTTTTAAAAATACTTATTTGCTATATAATTTGCTTAGTTCTCTGAATTAAAAAAAAGGTCTGATACAGAAATAAAACCAGAGAATTATATTTTAGAAACTTTGAATTAACTTTTGCTTTTACACAGTTAAGCCCAGTGATGCATTCTGAAAACCAAATTTTCCATATTTTTACAGTAAATAATGTCAAAAATTCTTGTCTGAATGCAGTACACTTGAGTTTTAAATTCAGTCTAGAATATCCATTTCTGCTTCAGTTATACAAATATATTTGTGCTTTTGATTCATGAGAATATTAAGTCATCAGTTACTATGGTGAGTCTCCAATTTAGAGTAGTATATTAACAGAAATAAAAATAATAAAATACCATGCCTTCATCTCTGGACACTGAACTAGTGTGTATTAAATTAACTGAGAATTTGAATCATGAATATGGAACTTCATATAAACTTCAATATTTTAATACTTTATAGAAGCTTTAAAATAAAGTGTTTATAAATTCTTGAGTAACCCTACAGGTTAACTGTGCAGTTCCTATATTCAGCTAGAAGTAGCAAACCAACCTTACTAGTCTTCCTTCCTATAACAAGAGTTAGCTTTTCACCAGCTGTGCCTTGTCTGCCATTCCACTTAGAACGTCTCTTTTCCTCCATCTGCCACACAGTGCAATTCCACCCACTCTCAGCCTATAACATATCCCTTCTATGAAATGTTGTTGTGTTCAAGCAATTCAAACATTTTATTTCTGAGTACACAAATATTTTAGGTGTACTTTTCTAGAGGAGCATTTATATTGTGGCTTAACATTTATTTACATACTTATTTAACTGTCTTCCCCCAATGCATTGATTATCTTATTACTTTGTCTTTTATCTTGTTAACCCTAGTCCCTCCAATCAACCTTTTGCCCTTTCCCAGTTTTTAAACTGAATGAATTGCTAAATTTTAGAAGATTTCACAATTGCTAAATTGTGACTTTAAGAAAATGGTTTTTAATCCTTGTAAATGATGCTCACTTATGTTATATATAAATATGCATTTTAGCAGACTTAAAACATTAGCAGTCATTCTACTTGTAAAGTTTTGGGGGGAGGCACTAAATCTTCATATTATAAAAAATCTTTAATGTGGTATCTATTATTTTATTTTACTTTAAATTAGCAGTTAGTGGTTTAAAACAATGCAAATAGGGGTCTTTTTTTAAAGCCCCTTAATAGTTAAATTATAGTACTTTTCTCTGCATTTTATGCATGTAGGAAAAATTATATTTCATGGAGTTGAATTTTAAATGGTAGACAAACAAAATCACTTTAAAATATCCAAAATGAAATACCTACTTTCTCTTTTTCATTAAAAAATAATGGCCCCTCATGAAAATGTAGAAGCTATTGTAATTCATTAAAATTTATTTTTATATTTATTTAAACATTTACTATACATGACAAAATATATTGCTGTGGCTACCTTTTATAATTTTCAAAGTAGGATTTTTGTTTTATTTAAAATATATATTTTCTAATGACAAAAGGAATACTTTCTAATGCAGCTATAGATTTTTTAAATATTAGGCTATTTCCTTTCATACTAGCTGATTTGTTTAATAAACCTGACATGATAAATATAAAATATATATAATTTTTCAAGTGTAACTAATTCAGAATAAAGAAAGAAATAGTTTTACCTTTTTGTGTGGCATTGCTTGCTTTTTCTGGGTGTGTTACTTGGGTATAGTAAAAATAAAATTTTCTATCAGTTGGAATTATATAATTGGTCAGTTAACACACAATTTAAGATCAGATATTTTATTACAATATAAATATATAGCAAATAATAATACCGAACCCTATATGTATATACATACACATGCTATTTTTCATAAACATACGTGTGTACGATAAAGTTTAATTTATAGATTAGGCCACAGTAGGAGATTAATAACTGGTAATAAGAGAAAAATTGTAATTATATACTATAATAAAAGTTTGATGAATGGCTTGGCAATTACTACGTAAAATGAGGGCACATACGCACTGTGATACCGAGACAGTCAATCTGATAATCAAGGCAGCTGCTAAGCGACGAACTCGAGGGTGGCGAGTGCAGCATGGGTGCCCTGGACAAAAGCATGACTCACGTCCTGGGCGGGACAGGGCAGGACGGTGAGAGATTTCATCACACTACTCAGAACTGTGCACGACTTAAAATTCATAAATGTTCATGTCTGGAATTTTTATTTCATATTTTAGGAGTACAATTAACTATGGGTAGCTGAAACTACAGAAAGAGAAATCGTGGATAAGGGGACTACTGTGCTGGGTGGCTGATTTTATGACCTGGTGTCTTGCTTTCTAAAGTAAAATACATTTTAGTGTAAAAAATTTTCCTGCTATTATTCATTTGCCTCCGCACTTACTTCTCAAAATAGGTCTTTGGTTTTGACTGTCTTTAATAACTAAATCATTTGAAAAATAAGGAAACTTATTTGCTCATTCTGTAAATCATTATAACTATTGAAAGATTATCTAAAAAAGATTGTAATATTCAGTGACAACACTTTGAAAGAAGTTAACACTATTTTCTTAGCCAGGGTATCTCAATAATGAGGGAAGAGAAGATAGTTTTGTTAATCCAGAATTCATTTTGTGTTTTCAATAGTGTTAGAATTGTGAATCACAGTTTTTAAGTTCCATAATTAATAGTTTCACATCAGAAAGTGAAAACTTGAATAATTACTTTGATAATAAAAAATAAATTCAAATATTTTTCTTAAGTGGAATGTCAGACATATTTTTACAGAAGACTACTATGGCTTTTCCCACATCTTATATGTTTATATATAATATCATTGAGTTTATTTATTTCCAAGTAATGATGTTTAAATTATTGTGATTATTACTGTAGTTCAAATTACTCAAAAAATACATACCATGAAAAATAAGTCTCCCTTCTACCCCATGTCCTAACTACACAGATATCCTTCTTAGAAATATCTGGTGTTATTTATGAGTTGTTCTGAAGATAGTCTACACAGATACAGGTATATATGTAATCTCCTTATATTATCAATATAGAACTTTCTCATTCTATTTGATGGCATCAGGAAATGTTTTGCAAGATTATCAACTTATTTCACCAGTCCTCTCCTGAGGCACATTATGTGCTTTTCAATCATCTACTAAATGAACTATGTTGTCCTATCAATGAATTTCTGTGAGACTAGATTACTACATGTAGAAATGTTGTGTCAAATGGATTTTTTAAAGTTTAGAAACATTTCTAATTATTCTTATGAAATTCCCCCCTTATGACTTGAGTTGGAAATGTAGTCCTCCTTCCCACAGTGTTTAGTTTATTTTTAGTTTATTTTAATGCAAAATATTTAGTTTTAATATTTTAATTTGAATTTATGTATCTTTTTCATTAATAACTTATAAGTTGCCCTGGCCAAGTAGCTCAGTTGGTTATAGCATCTTCCCTATAATATAACAAGATTATGAGTTCAATTTTGGGTAAAGACACATACAAGAATTAACTAATAAATGCATAAATAAATGGAACAACAATCTCTCTAAAAATCAATAAATAAAAATTAAGAAAACTTGTGCGTTTTTTAAAGATTTTACTTATTTATCTTTAGAGGGGAAGGAGAGAGGAAGAGAAACATCAATGTATGGTTGCCTCTAGTGCGTTCCCTGCTGGGAACTGGCCTGCAACCCAGGCATGTGCCCTGACTGGGAATTGAACCACAATCCTCTGGTTTACAGACCTGCGCTCAACCCACTGAGCTACACCAGCCAGGGCCCTGAGTTGTTTTTTTTTAGTCGTTCTTAAAAAGGCCTATTTACTGCATAACTATTTTTAAAAATAAAGTTCCCTCATGCCTTCTTTATACTGAATTTTTTATGTTGTACTTTTAAACATCTGAACTACTTACAATTTATTCTGTTACAGTGTTTAAAAGTAGTTTGACATTATGTTTTTGACAGCTACTGGTTACCCCACATTACTTATTCATATAACTTTATGCCACTGATTTTAAATGTCACCTTTTAATGCAACTTAAACTCTAGTATAGATTTGGGATCTATTTCTGAACTTTCTATACCATTCCATTGATTTGGCCATGTATTTTACTCCTGGAAACACTCTGTGACCGAAAATATTAAATAAAAGAAAGTTGGAATGTAAAGAAATCTGACATTTCTAATACTGTAAGACATATTCCATGAAGTATGACTAGTAATATTTGCAATAATCATGACCATAAAATAAATAAAGCAGAATGTCCATTAATATTTGGTCATTGGTCAGGTTAGAATATTATAAGGCTACAAGGTTCCAGATAATGGCCAGATAAAAAAGCAAAAAATGGCGAGGAAGATGAAAAAACTATTTGTCACTGTTACTGATTATATCCATAATGACACTTTTGTATCAGGGTCTCAGGCATTTAGTCATGCTTCTCGATGTTATTAGAATTTGTGCTGATACCACTTACTAGCCTTCTCCCCCCCATTCAGGATACTAGACTCCCATTTTGAAAATAGAGTGAAAGAAATGACCTTCCCTGAGACTCATCTCGATTTACTTATGGAGACTGATATAGCACATTGAAAAGTACTTCTACCAACAACCTCAATTATTCATAGCTTTTAGTCAGTATTCCTATAATAAAAGACAAGAAAATATTCCAGGACTGTAAATCATTTAGGAATTTATCATAGTTTTACCTATAACAGCAAATTGAAAGCCCAGTAATTGAGGAAGTATTAGGTAAGTTCTGAGGTATTAGTTATGTGACTAATTTGTAAAATAATTCTGATGCTTATAAGATCACACAGCTGTACAATCTAGTTTAAAAGAGGAAAGTGAAAGAAATGTACATAAATTAACCATGTTTAAGATTTAAGAAAGTTGGGGCATACT